TTCAAATTCTGTGAGGTTGTAGAGGTTTGAATAGCAATTACTTTTCTCTTGAGCTATTGTTGCCCATTAAACAAATCCATTTATTTACTTATTCAGAATATAATCCTGCAAGTGCATAAAACCAATTTACATTACTTTTGTTATCTTCTTCCACTTGAAGATGTATTCATTGCCTCTCTTTTAAAAAAACGAAAAGGGGTACGTTCTTTCCTGGAAAGATTTTGCTTCGCTTTTAAAGATTATCTTATAGTATCAGAGCCATTTTGCTCTTTAAACAATACAGCAAATCTGGCCCATAACAAAGACGTCCACATATGTTGTTTCCTTAATAAAATTCATTCCAAGTTTGGAGACAGTTTCACAAGAAAAACACCACTGACAGTTTCAATTTGCGGCACTGACTGATTTGTGGGCTCAATGAGTCACTCGTGGGAGGAAAAAAGGAGAGATGGACAGATACACACACGTGCGCACACACACATGCACATACACACACAAACACATACACACGCACAAACACACACACGCACACACATCCTTTCTATCTCCTTGTCTCCTTTCTCTCCTCTTTGTCCCTCCCTGATTATAAAGACTTGCCAAGAAATCATTGGCTCAACAGAGGAAGGGCAAATCCTCTTCAGCCAATTTAAATTCTCCTGAGCGTATGGAGCCGACTATTCCAAACTAATTAATAGACATGTTATGAATAAAAACACTTTGATTATGAAAAGAGGTTGCCCTCTGCCTCCTTTTAGGCTTGTCATTAGTCTGAGGACACATGTGGAGAATAGCTGGAGTGTTGGTACCAGCTGCCGGAGAGGGTGGCAGATGCCCTCTCTTGATTAAATTTTTTGCTCCGTGCTTAATTCAGGCTTGACTGCGTGGACCCTATGTTATTGCATGTGATTAGCTCTACCTGTACCAACAGGAGATCTGTGGCCCAGCTGGAGCAGAAGGGCAGGGCCTATTCAAAGGTTGGGACACAAAGACACGCATCTATTGAGCCCTCTCTCCGGCTACTTCCCTTCAGCCTTGACCACACTGCACAGGTCCTCCTGTTATATAGTTCTCCTATAACTCTCCCTTGCTTAGTTTGATTTATATAACTAGCCTGTGGAACCTTTTTTTTTTTTCCGGATCAGTCACCGGAAGTTAATATGCATAATCAATGCTAAACGATGTATATTATTCTATGAATGAATATCAACTATGCTGTTTAAAATAATACACCTTCTAAATGCCACCCAAATTTGTATATTCCAGTCATAGAATATCTGCTAAAATAGTGTTTTATTTTTTACGGAGGGAATATGCATCTCACATGCGCATTCAGGCACAGTCGGTTGGCACTCATGTTGGAGTTGTTAGCCTGTTTTATTGATTGTGTGGTGGTGTGGGTATCTCAGAGATATGTATGGTATCCATGCTGTTCTGGATGGCTCCATGGCGCCTTATGTTAGGCTGCAAAGAGGCTCCGGCTGTCAACATGTGGTCCTCAGCTCGACTGACTCGTCCCAAAGGGGAAGCAGACCCCCTCCTGTAGGAGCCATCTGTATCTCGGACAAGGCTATCCATCATCTGCACCGCGGCGCTCGATTTAGTTTTTTTTTTTTCTTTTTAGACAGCTTCAGGCAGCACTGAACAGCTTTACATGTACATGTCGGTAATGAGAGCCCTTGAAACCTGCCTAGTGGCTCTCAAAGCCTGCCTCAAGGGCTGAAGGGAATCAATGAGTCAATCCCGGAGGCTGCATACACCCCCGATCTCCAGGGTTTTGCCAGATACAGGATTCAACACCACGCATCTTGTTGTGGAGACAGAAAAACTAAATTAGTAGGAGATACTGATTGCTACAGTGTCCTTGGTTGAAGGTTTAGTAGAAGATTAATTTCGCTATTCCTCCATGAAGTAGAATGATTTATTTGTTCATTTTAACACATGTAATGTTTCACACTTCCCCTATGCATTTTCAGAATCCTCATCTTTTACCCGGGTGGGATTTAATGTTCATCAGCATTTTGTACGTTAGAGTGCAACCAAGACACAGATATATTATTTTTACTGTTATTATTTGAACTGTAACCATCTTGAAGTGAGGGGTCTAAACATCCATATTGTGTCAATTTGGCTGACAGATAACTCTTAATCATTAACATACCTGGAGCAAATGTTACATGGAATAATGAGTATGTTCAGCTTGTGAAATGTTTTATTTGAAACTTGAAGTTCTGCCGTTGGAAAGTACCTCCAATTTTCACGATTTTCAGTTTGCCATAAGTCAGAATTAAGATGGCACTGCCTCATTGCTGGAAAACAAATGAAGTGGAGTCACAATATTGGCCCCACCTTTGATCCTATGGAGCATAAAAATCTCAGGACCTCTGAAGAACTCATGGCAGTGAAGTGTTGTTATCTTTTACAGTCATCCCAGCTCTATTTGATGTTGCTCTGAGAATGCATTTTATCACTAATGGCTGTCTGAACCACTAGATCGTGCAGAAAGCCTAAATCAGACATACTCTGACATACTCTGCCTGGATTCAAAGTCTACCACTGCTGCAATCATCTGTACAGTAGGTTGAGTAAGCAGAATCCATTTTGTGTCTGTTAATTCAATCACCTCCAGCCGACTGCTGTATGCTGATGGTGCTCTTGGGGGTCACGGGGGCTTTTGGAGAGCCAAGACAGAAAATGGATCCTCTTGGCAGGGGTCGCAAAAATGTCCTAGCGCTCTGCCCTGGCTAGATGAGGTTGTGTTACACACCAGCTTGGCAGCTAAAGACAAGATAGTTGCAGCTTATCATATGTAAGCTTGGGCGAGTAGGCCAGTGGGAATCCCCACATTTTGTGTTGTTGTACTCAGTCCATCTCTAGAAAACAAATCTCATTCTTCGTGTCGGTATGTCGAGCTCTCACGCAGTTTTTCAATAATCACACAAACTGGTTGGAGACACATCTAAATCCCTCTCCCACAGGTTCCCAATTCCTTGCGCAACTTGTTGTGATGTGTTCTGAGCCACATACAACGTGTGAGCAGTAAACAGCTCCAAAAGAGCTTTAGGTTGACGGCATACAGCCAGCGATAGATTATTGAGTTGGCCAAGGGGTCATGGCATGGATTAGATGCACTTGTCCAAATAGAGTTGTAAAAATAATGTCAGAACAATGCAAAATGACCACAAAGAGATAAAATCAATGAAGCGAGAAGCAGCCGTGGACTTGACAAAATTGATGTCCAACAAGTTTTTGGTCCTTTCATCCGAGTACTTCTCTGTGTTTGGAGTTAATATTAATTTACACTCTTATATGGACAGATATTAAAGTTTTATCCAAGTAAAGCTGCATCAGAACATTTGAGATGAGGAGAATCAATGAAATATCAGCATTTACAAAATCATTATTTTTTAGATTCAGGCCAAATTTATTTTTTAAAATTTTTAGTGAACCAGTTAAGCAAGATAAACCTAAGAGTTTATGATTATTTTTCTCAGCTGGTTCTGAGTAAATATATGTGAAATAAACGTAGACATTTACGGAGTTCTTTTATCCCTTCTTTGAAAAAAACCCCCACCAACTCCCCATTTGTTTTAGTGACAGGTCCTTAGATGTAAATCTGTTCAGATACAAGACATAAACTGATTAAATGTTAGAGTCCACAAACTATGGCTTTGTAGAGGCGACTTTTTTCTAATCTGTATCATTAGAAGTCTTCAGTTTGGTAAATACAGTAGGCTGGTTATCCGTGGAGCACTTTGAAGTCAATTTTGTTGACTTTCCATCACTGCATTTCGTTCGAATGATTCGTGCGCTGATGCTTTGGTTCTATTCACAGACAGACACGCTTCCACAGGGGCCCTTAGTTATGCTTTGATAACACAAGAAAATATCCTGATTTTTCCCCAGTAATTTCCCCAGCTGTGAGACTGGCAGCAAGGCCTCCTGTAGGCAGACAGTTAGTCTTTGTGTCCTAGATGTAAGGCAACATCTTTATACAGACATATGGAAAACACAAGCTATTAATCATACCTTGAGTTTTATCCTTCGCTGTATATCTTAAGTTCAGTAATGCCAATTTCTACAAGTGCATAACACAATCGCCAATGAAAACTGCTCCTCATCAAATCCAGCCAACAATTTTCTGTATGAGATGTGGCGAAGGCACCCAGGAAGACTAAACCTTGTAGGTGTGTGTGTGTGTGTTCATTAGGAGTATTTCTTTGTCTGGGGAAGTGTGTAACTTTTTTCCGAGGCGTGTGTGAGCACTTGAGCATGCGGTCAAAGCACTGGCACTAATAACACAAATTACATTTCTGTAGATAAACATATGGAGATTGCGGGCTGTGAAATTGACTTCAGGCTGTGAAATTAAAGAAAAAAAATCCCCACTGAGGTGATAGCTGGGGTTGTTCAGGGGCGGAGCGTAACACACCGAGTCTGTACATTCACTGCAATTCAATTAGCGGCCTTGATCATCTTCCTCAGCAAGTCTGATGTGGCGCGACTCCGCGATCCAAGACACTGACTCGATCTCGGAGAGATGTTTGATTTATTTGTTCATTAGGAACTCTCTCTGCAGGCTCAGACCTCTCATCAATCCCTGTTCGCACTCAACAAGCGCAATCAGCTCATGTCCTTAATAGCCAAAGTGAAATAAGAGAAAACGGCCATGCTTCATAAACACTGATAAGGCCATACCCCGCCAAAATTTCCTACTAACCCATAGCATGGTAATCCCATCCAAAGTGGATTGAATATTAAACAGATTGGCATGCGTGGGGAAGGAGAGGAGGCTACTGAAATGCCAGGAGGATTAAGTCAGAGGAGATATAGTGCTGCAGTTGTAGCATGCTATACTTGAGTTTCTGGCTCTCAATAATAGAAATGTCAGGAAGGGGAAAGAGGAAAAGGGAAAGGAGGGGGGGTGTCCTAACTGCAGGCCTTAGAAATCACAGCTGGTGCCGAATTCATCATTATTGCTTCCCACTCACATCGGCTTTAAAATGGCGTTGACCTTTGAAGGTGAGAAAATGCCCATTTCTCCATGTTAAGATGCCGTTCAGACTTTTATTCTTTAGTTCAAAATGGTACTGTTTAAAAACTGTACATATATGTGATGAATTATTTTTCAAATGCAATAGAATATATTTTCACTTTGACTAATAAACATATGTAGTTTAATCATCAAGTTTAATAGTTTTCAAGCTATTCTGCTCAGAAAATTGTCATTCTCATATTTTTCTCGCCTGATATTATGATGTTGTATTTTACCTGAGCAATGACTCTGTCAGCATCAGTAATGCCTATAAATCCTACCATGGAGGAGATTAGTCTGTGAAAAGCGCTGCTGCCCGCAGTAATTAAAATTCTGCTGGATGGCCGGGGTTTTTTTCTGTTACCATCTCCTCGAAGCATCAGTCGCACCTCTGTATTACTTACTTTCTTTGTCCTTTCGTCCTTCTCAATGGTTTTAATCAGTCGCCATGCATTTTAGCCCTGATAACAGCATTCTTTTCACATCAAGTGGATGATAAGACGGTGGAGCAAAGAGCCCCTTTTCTTGAAAAATGATCATGAGTGACGGCCATTTATTTGAACTGCTTTATATCTCATCTCAGGGATCATAAGTGTCAAGATCATTATTTGAAAAGCAAAGAGATAAAAATCCCAATTCTAGCATTGATGGCCATTCTTTATATTGCTTATTGATTGTGGTGGTATATTGTGTAAAGAATGGAAGGATGCAGAAGATAACTGATCATTTCATACATTAAAAGTTTCCTGAGCTATGTAGCAGCCCATGATGTGAAATACATGACAGTAATTTGTTTAATTTTTTCATGCCTTAATCTTGTCCAGCATGTTTGCTTTTAATTTGAAAAAGATGGGCCATATGGTTTGACGCTGTTGCTGTCTAGAAATGAAATCCTGCCAGAGAAACTACTGTTGTGGCAGGCCTGCTGTCTTGCTCAATGAACATACATTTTATGACACTACAACTCGCAGCTTTCCAATTGCACTCAATCACAAATGGAATAAAGGGCTGCTGTGCCTCTCTCTGCTGCATCAGCACTATGCAAAGTCAGCGCAAACTCTGTTTCCTACGTCTCACAAACATCTCAATTATTCATAATTTTCATGAAAAAAAACGTAGATGCATTCTATTTGGATTTCACTGCAAAGGAGCAACAGAGGCATTAAGGATTTATGGTCATCTTTATCAATTTAACATTTTGGCAAAAGAATGTCTTCATCTGATAAATGTTTAGCTAACTGAAATGTTTTTAACATTAATGTGGGACATCTGTCATGTTTTGGTTTAACTAAGAGCTGTGGGGATACTTTACAGTTGGATTTTTTTTATTTTCTCCCACACGCAAAACAACACAATGTTTTGTCTGATTAAAATGTGTCTCGCTGAAATCTAAGAAACACGATTTACAGAGAGTGCATTAGTGATGATGTTAAGGCTTTGACAGATAGAAATGTTTCTTCTCACGTCTTATTTGGTCACGTTGAACCTTTTTCTGCCAAAGACCTCTGGCTGAAAAACATATGTTGAATGACAAAGACAACTTGATTTAATAGCTTTCAGATTCACACTTGTGTTTGACAATGTCTTTTTTCCTTTTTTTTAAAACATCTGCTTTTTTATTCTAAAATGAATGCCATCAGAGGTATGAAAGCCAAGTAATCCAATCTTTTTTACAAGGAACTACTGCCAACTCAGCTCAGCATTCTGCATTTTGAAAGATTTTTGATGACAGTAATCTGCACCATTTGTTTAGCAGGGAGACAGCTCCGAATTTTTTGGAACGTGCAAAATGGCACTGTAATTCTCTGTCTTTTAAATGTATTTTTACCCCGTTGCTTGCCACTTGTTGCCCCAAAACTCAGTGGTTTATTTACTTTATCACCTTATCGAGTGACCCTTTGTCCCTCAGCAGTGCCGACAGCGAGACTGATCAATAAGTCTGTGTCTTATTTCCAAGCTCTCCACAGAGATTTGAGGAAAATTCTGGCATTTTAATCAGAAATCCTGTCAGTTACGAGAGAACCTGATTTTGTCTATAGCTCTGGTGACCTTTCCAGAGCCATAAAACTTTGTGGGTGCCACTCTCTGCAACGTCGTGGGGTCATCACTTCATCAGTTATCTCTCTACTATAACAGCAACGTGACCTAAACTCTGTCTGTCCTCAGCCATCAGACTGAGAGAGATAGATGGTTTTATCTGTGAATGTAGCCATTGCTCTACACATGCTGACATACATTCCCAGCTGATAAGAGGAGCACTTTACAGGCGAGTTGGCAGGTCAAGGTCCACTGCGGTTCTCATCTGGTGAACATCGGGCTTTGCCGTCTTATAATTGCTGAATAATGTGGTATTTGAAATTAAATTAACTGGCCCTGCTGAACATCATGTAATATGCCCACACATATCACATATGCTTAAACCTTTAATGCTCTATTCAAGAAAAAATGTAGAGAAAATTTGCATATTTTTGTTAGAAGTTGTTATTCGTCCTTTAACAAAATATGAAAAAACAATAAAAAATGAATATTTTTTTAATATTCATCATGTATGACTGTACGATAAGTCAAAATTATTGCTGTGTAGTCTGCTGCCCACTGTTATAAGGTATTTCTGATAGTGTATAACAGGGTTTGGGGCAAATTTGTACAATTTAAAGTTTTCAAAAGGTCATCTCAGAAACAATACGTATCAAATATGACACATATAGCATTATAGGGCTAAGCACAATCAATGAAGACCAATTGAATGACAATAAGATTAACTTTTGAAACAAAAAAAAAGTAAAAAAACAAGCAAAAAGCCCAGTGGATAATTTTACAGGCGTGTTTAATGGTGAAGATTATTTTAGAGCTTCTCATGCTTGAAGGACCTATTCTTGCTAGACGTGAGTTGATTATCGGCGGTGGTCTGTGGCACATTCTTCATCCTTACACCTCAGTCAGACGAGTCAGCTATCAGCGCTAATTACGCTAACACTGATGGATAATGGAAAGCAAAAGCATCGGCTGAAGAATCCATAGTGCACTATTTTGAGCTGGATGTAGTTAGAATTATGAGAGAGAGCAGTAACTCTGATTTTCTACACTCCCAAGACATTACCCAATGCTTTCCGTGTTGATATGTAACCAAGGCAAACAGGAAAATGGTCTCTATAAGGTTGACAATCACAACCTAATTAAAGAATACTTTTCGGAACTTGTTTGGCAACAACATTCTTTCTCTACAGATATTGCTTTCTCTCGTAGATGATGAAAAGATTTGCATTATCTTGTTATAATAAGCAAGAACCTTGCAGAATAAAAAAGCAATGCTCAATCATAATGAAAGAAAGGAAGAGGGAAAGACAGAAAGATTCATCAGACCATAGCACACTTTCTACTTTGCCTCAGTCCATCTTAAATGAGCTTGGACCCAAGGGAGGCACTGGCATCTTGTTTATGTTTTTTTTTTGTGCATGGCAGATTTTTAATTTGCATTAGTGGATGCATCAATGAAGGGTGTTCACTGAACATGGTTCTTTTCTTAGTTTGCTCGATGATTTCAGCAACAGCAGTATGTTTGCTTTTAACGCCGTGGTCTCCAAAGCCCTGAAGATCATTTTTATTCAGTATTGGCCATATATCGTTTTCAGTATCTGATACCATGTTCTGGATGCTATGAATGATGATGAAATCTCCAAATTCCCTGTTCCATTTTGAAATGTTTTTCTTTCGTTATTTATTATATTTCTGGGCAGCCAGGTATAGAATGAGAAACAAACCTTCACGATTTCAGGACTTGATGAAAAGAAAAAGAAAAGTGTTTTTGTTACTTTTTTAGTGAAATTATGCCACTGACCTGTTATCAATTAAGCTAATTTGTTAATGTTCACTTTGCTTGTTGCTTGTTTTTTGCCATTTTGCTACTAGATGTATTACAAAAAATAGATATATTTAAAAAAGAAAGCACTCAAATATAAATGTGCTGATATTGATGCAATTTCTTTATACTTTGTTCTGCTATGTTTTTATATAATACAAAATTCTCTCTGCAAAGCAATGCAAACAGATTTTTCATTACTTTTTCATCATTCAAATAAACTATGTGAACAGATTTAGCCCCTTTACACAAAAACTAATATGTGGCAAGGCTCACAAACAAACAAAAACACAGACTCCAATTCACTACATAAAAGATACTAGATAGAGGTATTAGTGGGTGTCAAAATATAAATCTTACAATTTCTGCATAATGGCAATAGACAATGGTTGTTCACATGTGCCTAATTTATTAAACATGTGTTTTGAGGTAGGCTATTGCTTATTTGGCTTCCAAGATATGTAATTCATCACACTTATGTCTGTTTTCCACACTTTGTCCTGACTTTTGTCTAGTGCAGCTTGTGAAAGTAGCAGAGTTTTAATTAAGACATATGTTAGAACTTCAGGTTACTTGCATAGCTCTTTTTTTCCATCATCATAAAAACAGCCAGAGGAGCAAATGTGCAAATGAGTTTGGGTTGTGTTTTGGGCCCTGGAATATTAAAATATGAAAAAAAAAACTATGTTTGTTTCTCTCAGGCTCCAAATTAGCTGCAATCTCTGTGATAATTTCACTTCATTTTTTTTCTACAAAGAGCCTATGAAGCTGTGATAAAATGCTGCGACGAAACAAAAACAACGATAATACAGGACACAAAAGAAAGGGTAAAAAAAAAAAAACACCATTTCCGTCAGTGTTACCCGGTCATTCTGTGGACAGCCGTGCACGTAGGATGTTGTCCTTTTAACCTCGTGGTTGGCACAGCTCGCAGCACTGACACTCTGATGTGTCAGAAAGCTTGATTCTACAGCTCCCTTCGGGACAAAGCAGACAGGTAGCTCGAGCTGTGTGAGAAAAAGGCTTACTGAATTTGTAGTGATGACAACTGATGGTGCAGCAAGCACTAAACAGCGACTTTTATATTATTCAAACATTTATGGTAAGTCACAGGCTGTTGGTGTCGAG